CCTCCCCCCCCCTCCCTCCATATCAAATGGCACGCTAACACACAAACACAGAGTCATGCATTTCTAGAACCTTTTCTCCCGGCCTTGTGACTGTCCGGCTTGTTTTGAAACCCGATCCCCGTCCTGTTGACACATTTACATCGTTCGGTTTTGCAACCTCTCCTGTTTACTGCACAAATGCACACACACACAACAACACAACAACACACACACAGGCGGTTCTGTCAACAGATCTCTCCTGTTTCCTGGCTCGGCTCTGGGGGAAAAGTCGATAAAAACCCAGGTACATATGGTATCAAAATATCTGTCCAATCACAGCGGTCGCATCTGAAGGCAGAGCCAATCAGCTGACTGTACTCTAGGTGGGCCAATGAATGGACGCCGTTGAAATGAATCACGACTAATTATAATTAATTCACTCAAATGAAGTAGAAGACACTTGTTTGTTGTTGGTAAATTAATATAAAATAATAAAAAGGAATACAACCCCGCACCTGTCCAGAGTTGACTCTGACGGACTCTTAGAGATCAAGTCTGAGAACGTAACTGTTCAGGCAGTGAGAGATCCACACTGGTTCACAGTTAACATGAGGCCCAGAGATCCTGACATGTTCCAGGACACACACACACACACGTCCATAGTGTCCAGCTGCTGCAGGTCTCTGGGTTCGTCTGTAAGTCCTCAGCCGGGTCAACAGAAGGTTGATGCTATTTCGATTCAGGCTGCTGTCTCTGGGTGACACGGGAGCCTTTACGTTCTCCACTTACAGACATATAGAACCACAGACCCAGAAAACATGTTGTCTCTCACTGGACGACCCAGCTGTCAGTCAAATGCCGTGACCGTTTCATAATTACTCTGACCTTTTCGTTTTACGGTCGGTTCAATTTTAAATGACAATGTAATGTACATATGCAGATACGTAGTCACTTCGACCAATCATCCATAAGGTCATGGTGTCAGTCGGACCCCGACCCAGAGGTTTGAGAGACGTCTCTGATTGTATCTTTTCTCTCCATTCATTCAGGAAGAACATCACCAGCTCCTCCATGACGGTGGAGAGGTGGAGGAGGAGGAGGAGGAGGAAGGGGGAGAGTCCACTCTGAACGAAGATCAGGTGAAAAGTCATTTTCAGAATTCTGTCGCCTCAGAGTTTGGTTTTCTCTAAAAAAAACGCTGAGTGAGTTGAGACTAAAGAGCGTGAAGAGAAAAAAAAACCAAAAACGTTTGTCTTTCACGCTTGAAATCAGAGTCGGATGCTCCGTCTGTGAACGCAGCACCGCTGCCAGCTCAGCAGAACAGGAAGTGGGTGACACAGTTTGGCAGCTGCGCCGTACGGTGTCGTCTACAGCCAGAATTCAGATCCTGAAATATGTGACAGACGACAAACGTATCTGAGGGGGAAAAGAAAAAATCGAACAAACGAGGAGAGGGACATCTTCAAAAAGTAGATGAAAATATAAATATGGGTCACAGGTGTTGCATGTTTGTAGGTCAGACCCACTACCAAGAATCCTCTCTTTCTCACATAACATCACAGGTCAAAGGTCAGAAAGGAGAAGGGTGTGATTTGTGATTCACAGAATGTGGAAACAGAAGACAGAAATTCTGAGAATGAAACCAAAACAACACGATTGACGGGGGGGGGGGGACTTGGGAAAGAGGCTATTTCACTGAGGCAACAGCAAAGACTGGACAGCAGGGGGCAGTTGATTAAAGAAAAGGTGGTTTGACCGAGTCTCCGTCTCTGTTCCCAGACGTCCTTCTCCCTGCAGGAGTGTCTGAGGCTGTTGGAGGAGAACTTTCCCTCAGACCGACGGTCCTTATCGTCTCCACTCGTCTCCACTGACAGCCTGGACCTGGAGTTTCAGTGGCAGGACTTATTTGACATCATGGAGCCTGAGGTGAGTGGAAGAACCGGGCCTGTGGTTCTGTCCCTGAATAACTGAGTTCTAAATAAATAAATATGAATTTGAGTTGAAGAAAAAATTAAATTTCACAGCATTTAAACCAGAAAGAGTTTCAGTTGAACAGATTTTAAAAACCGAAACTTTTCTTCCAGAACACAGATGTCGACATGACATCATTTGATCAAGCTCCACCTCCGAGACGCTCCGGAACCACAGGTGACCTGTGTGAAGCCCTGAACCAACACCAGCGCCACCTATCAGAGGAGCATGGTCCGACAAACACGCAACATGGTAATAAAAAAAATAAAAAAAATCCAAATTGTATTCTAGGACAGTGGTTCACAGAACAGAATAAAGAATAAACAGAATACCACCTTAAAAATATTTGTCTCTCCGAGTACCAACAGTACCAACAGTACCGACCAGAATAAACAGAATTCCACCTTAAAAATATTTGTCTCTCAGAGTACCAACAGTACCAACAGTACCAACAGTACCAACAGTACCAACAGTACCGACCAATATGAGCCACACTGACTACAAAACACAACTACACAAACACAAAGAAGTCAATTCCTCACAGTGATATGCGTACCATATTTTAAAAGCTGTGTTTTACAAGAGAATAATTTTTTTTTTAACTTTTAATGGTTCATATGTTCCAGGTTTCCTGTGGTCTCCCAGCAGGCCTGACCCCTCCCCGCTGCTCCCACTGACGCCCAGCGCCGACCTGGACGACCACAGTTCAACCTTTGGTTCAGGAGGTTTCCAGAAAAACCTGAACCTGAACGCCTTCCAGAGTCCTCCAGACCACATGGACTTCCTTGAAGAAGGGTCGTCGGACAAGTCCACGTCTCCTGGTGACCGTCCTGGTCCACATCACACTCTGTACCCAGACGAAGGTCTCACCGGGTTTGATGTCAACTTCCAAATGCGCCCCCTCACGCCCCCCAGTCCTACCTCGTCTCTGGAGGGCAGTGAGATGACCCAGGACCTGGTTGGTAGTTTCCTGATCGATGAGGAAAACGTTGGCGAGGATTACGACCTCCCCGGACGACTGGGTGACTTGTTAGATGAGGCCAGCCTTCTGGAAGAGATCAGGGTTTTAGACCTGGCTCTGGAGGGGGGCTTTAGTCCAGAGATGGCGGCCCGGCTGGAGGAGGAGGGCTACCTCACCAGTGACGGTAATAACCGAGACAGTGACCCTCCAGTCTGCGAAAGGGCGGTTGGAGAAGACCGGAGCCAATCACAGACTCTGGACCAAGGTAATGAAATGAAAAGACAAACGTTTTCACAGTCCGTATTGACACAGACGTGTACCGGGCTTTGAGGAGAACTTTAAACCTCTGGTTCTTCTTCTTAGATGCTGGCAATGAGGCGGACTCCGACTCAGGTCTTTCCCTGGACTTCAGCCACAGTCCTGCTTCTCCGAGTCCTTCCTATCGCTCCCGCACTTCCTCCTCGTCGTCTTCGTCTTCTTTAGCCTCTTCCTCATCGTACACATCAGGTGAAGAAAGTCCAGTCAGTGGAGATGTTGATGAAGAGAACGAAGAAGGAGTTGTTGGTTCAGACATGGAACTGGAAGTCACCATAAAGCAGGAGGAGGTGGAAGAGGAGGTGATGGGAGCAGTGGGAGGAGAGTATCCTGGTGATGTCAAGAAACTCTTCCCTGTCAACTGCGGCGATCACATGGGTCTGAACGACTTCCCGTGGCTGGAGCAGGTTGACCACGATCACACGTACAACCAGCCCAGGTCCTCCACCTTCCCCTCTTCTCCTCAACCACACATACCCACCAAACACAGCAAATCCTCCCCACGGCCCCCCGCCGCTCGACGCCACCATTTCTCCACCTCCAGAAGCATATCGGAGAGCAAAATGTGGAGCCGCGACGAAAGACGGGCCAAATCCCTGAAGCTGCCGTTCTCCAACGAGCTGATCGTCCATCTGCCGGTGGAAGAGTTCAACGACCTACTGACAGGTTACCGGCTGACGGAGGAGCAGCTCTGCCTCGTCAGGGACATACGGCGCCGCGGCAAGAACAAGATAGCAGCCCAGAACTGCAGGAAGAGGAAACTGGACGGGCTCATGGCTCTGGACGACGAGGTGTCCGCTCTGAGGCGCCGGCGAACGCGGCTGATGCGAGAGAAACAAGAATCCCTGAGAAACCTGCAGGAAATGAAGCGCCGGCTGAAGGTCCTGTACCAGGAAGTCTTTTCTCAGCTGAGGGACGAAGAAGGACGGCAGCTGGATTCTTCAGAGTTCTTTCTAAACTTTGCCTCCGATGGCAGCGTGGCGGTGGATTCACTCCAGCAGCAGGCGTGGATGCCAGGGAGAGGAGGGAGAACAGGCAAGAAACAGAGAAGCAAGAAGAAGTGAAATCTTCAGAGGATGAAAAAAAAAAAAAAAACTCTGGACATTTTGACGTCTTTGCGGAGCGATGTTGTAGAATCAAGGATTCATCAGCGTTTTTCTACACTGGAAAGAAACTGGATGATGAAAAACTGTCCTCAACGCCAAGTTTAAAAAGCTATTACTCAAAAAGTCATGAGACTTTGGGACCAGAGAACAACAGAGTTCCTCCCTTAGTTGAGCTGAGACAGAGACTGGAATAGACAGCGAGGAGAAATTTCTTTTTTTAACTGAAGGAACTCAAAGGAAAACACGTCATCCAAACGGCAGCACTTCCCGTCTCGTCGTATTTAAAGTCATGAAATGATACCCGTGTTCTAACGGGTGGAGGAAAGTTCGGTTTTTGAGACAATCGATCTTTGATTTAGTTGTTTTTTTTTTGTTAAATGTCGCCTGTGTCTCGTCCTGAGGACTGTGAGGACGAAGACTGTCCCAGAGGAGCAGCAACAGAGATGACCCGTAAAACTGTGTAGCCTGTAGGCACCATCGGATACAGCCCAACGTTTTAAAACCTGCTGATTCACAGGAAGAAAAAACACTACTGCAGAAAAAAAGAAGGAATTGAAGAAAAAAAAACTAACACTGTACAAATGTATTGAAGGTGAATGACAGACTTTATCTTCCTTGATCAGGGATTGGTTTGATTATGTCAAAGGCTTTAGTCTACTGCTGTTGTTCTGGTCCTTTTCTGCAGTACCCCCTCCCCCACTCCCCCCAACAGCTCTGCACCCTGGTGTGGGTACCCGCTCCTTATTTTAAGAACCCACTGGAATCATTTTTCAGTCTTGAAATGAGTCGTCGAACCTGCATTTGATTGATTATGATTGAAGACAAATCAAACATGGCAGATTTTTTTAAAGCTTTCGTCGGGTCTCACTGTTTGAAGAGCATTTAACTGAAATACCTCAAATCAAACTACTGTAGTTGCACGAAGAGTCAAAATGAAATGATTGGCATCGATTTAAACAGACGGGTTTGAATGAAAAATGTGCTCTTTTCTATGTGGACTTTTTCTACATTTGTCTGTCGGTCCCAGGTGCTTGCTGGTATTCAAGGACTTTGGAAATGTTTTGTAATAATAAAAAAAAAATAAAGTCTTGAGTCGTGTTTACAGTCAGAGTCTTGAGTTTCTTTGAACCTGGTCCACAGGTCAGACAGGAACAGAGGTTTAAACTTAGCATCTTAGCTTAGCAGCACAAACTGGCCTTTTGTTGTCTAAAGATTACTGCTGTCTGACCCCTGCTGTCCGACCCCTGCTGTCCGACCCCTGCTGTCCGACCCCTGCTGTCCGACCGCACACATGACAGGAAAACTAAGACATTATAACAGATTAGGAAAACCAAGAACTTTATTGTCCAAAACTGACAAAGAGAAATCAGCTGTGACAGGAAAAAAACAAAAGACCAAAAACATAACACTCCATACAGTATACAAGGAGAAAGACAACACAAGCTAACTGGCTAACTGGTCGGAGGGGGCTGTGACAAAATACCACCCAATACTGATGTTCACAGTGAAGTCAAGAGAGCGTTACAGTCGGTGTTACACTGTCAGAGTGTTACACTGTCAGAGTGTTACAGTCGGTGTTACACAGTCAGAGCGTTACAGTCAGTGTTACACAGTCAGAGCGTTACACTGTCGGAGCGTTACACTGTCGGAGTGTTACACTGTCGGAGTGTTACACTGTCAGAGGGTTACACTGTCGGAGTGTTACACAGTCAGAGTGTAACACTTCAGACTCCTGCGTCACAGGTGCTGGACTGTACTAAACGGTAAAATAACTCCATACTGTCAAGAACACAAAAATTATCTGATGCAGTTTTCTGATTTTTTAATTTTTTTTTTTTAACACTGGCTGAACCTCCAGACGTGAACTGCCTTAGTCAGGGTTCAGGAGTGGCTTCAGTCCAACGGTTTTGTGACATTTTTGTTGACAAATGGTTTCGATGTCAAGGTTTTTCTAGGGGCCCGGGGTTACTACACCCCCCCCACACACCCTCCAGCCCCCCCTTTTTTTGCAGTATTTTTCTTTTGCAGGTATTCAAAGCAAATGTACAGAACCAGGAAAGAATTCTCGACACCATCAACAACGATGCACTCATTCTGCTCCACTCTATAAATGTTTGGTTTCCAGCCTCATCCCTCCTGTCAACAACTTTGTGGACTTGAAAAAGAAAAATACTTCAAAAAAGACAACAAATTTATGCTCCTCAAAAACCTTCACACAGTGTCCCTTTCGAATGATAGCACCCCCTACTGGTCTGGGGCAGCTAAAATTCACGCATAAATACACATGGAAATATTTAAAACACCACAAAGGTTACTATAAAATGGACTTTTAATGACGGCGTGTGTAACGTCACCGTTAGTTACGCTTGAACACGGCTAGCATCAGTTAGCGTGTTCTACCCATGCACTGGGGTGTAGCCTAGGAACAAGGACACACACACACACGTGTGATCTCACCACATTTTTAACACTTATTTTTTTTTTTAAACTTTTAAAAAAAAAAAAAAAATTCAAACACTGAAGATGGGACTTGAACCAGCACCCCTATGGCCAACAAACAGGAAGCTACAAAATTAGCATACAATATACTTTGTAATGAGCACAACTGGGCCACAACAGTCAATGTTCAAATTTCAATTCTGCAAAACACCAGGTGTGTCGGACAGCGGAGGGTCTGTGAAGCGGGAGGAGGCATCGACCCGTCCAGTCTGGGCTGAAACGTCATGTGACGACTGCTGCCCCCTGAGGTCAGCAGCTGAAACAACACAGCTGAGAAAAGAACTGTGACTGTATGGAATGAAGATGAGTTCAGTTTCAGAGCCTCAGCCTCAACAGGAAACAACGCCATTATCTGCCCTAGTGGCAGCCAACCAAACTGCACCTCGTACGTACATCGCCCAAAATGTCCTCCTAAAATCTAGCGCCGCTTAGAACATACCAACATGGAACCTGACAGGTCAGAGGTCAACGACAACAGCGATGACCTATTGTTGCAGTACCGATAACAACCACACACTGTGTACAAGAAGTGGACAGAGGAACTGACGTTATTACTGAGGTTGTGCTTTAATTCTTTTCTCATTTTATTTTTTAATTTTTCTGAATATATTGAGTTTTGTCAACTACATTATAATCCGGTTTATTTCTTACGCTCACTCCCACATCAACTGTCCAGGTTTTATATACAGTCAGCGACGACGTCAGCTCTCAGCGAGGCTAACTGCAGCAGCTTAGCTCAGTAACGACAGCGTGGCTACATCAGCCTGAATCTGAAGACTTTACGGATGTTATATGTTTTTTTTTTCTTTAACGGGAAACCAACCAGCCTCAGGTCAGTTCAACAAACTGACTAAAAACCGGTTCATCTGACATCACATGGTTTATTGGTGAATAGAAAACTGCCACAGGCACTAAACAATCTTTTAAAACACAACAACAGCCACACACTGGGCATGAGAACATGATTAAGACGAAAAGAATCAGCTTCACTTCAAAAAGAAAAAAAAAAAGAATACAAGATTAAGATGCAGGATTGGCAGGAAGTGGAATGAAAGAAAATGTACAAATGCACTCGGCTCCTGACTATAAAACACTGGCGGTTGGAAGAAGCTGGAGGCCGACGGTGTTCGTTACGTGAAGGCTGCCACTCCTACAGGAAGCGGCGACACGTGGAACCATGTGGAACCATGTGGAACCATGAGGCCGTAGGAGAACAGTGTGACAACATGATGACAATCCAGGTGGCGCAAGAGAACTAAAAACTGAAAGAGGCAAACGGACTCTGTCCTTTTCTGTCACCTCAACTGGTTCCTTTCCTTGACAAAAATAAGAACCCCCCCCCCCTCGCCCCTCCCACCCCAGCCACTCCCCCCACGTGTAATGTAAAGCACGTCACAAACACCAGTTCTACTTGTTTTCTGTTTTAAAAAAAACAACAACAACAAGAAGAACCTGTGGCTTAACATAAAAAAAAAAACGTTGCTGCATTCACGACAAACAGCCCCCCCCCCACAAAAAGTGACAGGTTCTGGTTTAAAAACAAGGAAAGACAATTGTCAACTTAGAATCGTTAAAATTTTTGGACTACATTTTTCATACGAGACACGAGCGGGGGCGACTTTTGAAGGACCTCTTCCCAGGGCAGAAAGAAAACAGAGGTAGTTTCCTCTTTCAGCTACGTTGGCGGTTCGATCCCACAGATCTGGGAATACTCTTTAAAATCACCCTCGCTGCCAAAATGGCTGCCAAGGTGTAACTAACATAAACAACAGTTCACTAGCATATTGTCGATTTTTTTCCGTCCTACACCACCGCTCTCCCAGATCTACTCATCTAGTCTTTTTTCTCCTCCTCTTTCTTCTCCTCCTCTTCTGTGGGGTAAGAGTGCCAGGTGAGACGCTCCTCGTAGAAGGAGATGACCACCTGGGGGCATTTGACGTTGGCCTCCTTGGACGGGACCAGGTCGGCCTCGTCTGAGTTCTTCCTATTAATTTAACGCCCCCCCAAAAACACACACAAAAAAATGTCCCAAAAAAAAGCAAAGAGAAGGTTTCAGTAAATACGATTTGAGGGCAGGGTCACACACAGGGACATGCACGTTACAGTCTTATCATTAGGGGTGTGTATTGGCGAGACTCTGGCGATACGTATCACGATACAGGGGCAACAATACGATACACTGCGATTTCATAAGCACAACGATATATTGAGTTGTTTTTCTGAACAATCACTAGTGGAATCACTAGAGAAGAAAGAAAAGGAACCAACACCAGGAATATTGGACTGGGAATTGGTGATAAAAAAAAAAAACAATACACAGATGACTGAGGAGATCGACACGGGATCAGGAAATATCGCGTTATTTCAGCGTATTGATATTTTTGAATATCAATTTTTAAGGAATGATGTTTTGACCAACACTGTCAACAGGACCTTTGACCTTTAACATTAGTATTTGAGGTTCTCAAAGTCAAAACGAACGGTGGACATCTTTAACATCTCTAATCTGTTCATATTATTACTATACTTTAAAGAAAATATTGAAGGACTCACCACTTCATGAGAAACATAAGCTCTCCACTGGAGTCAGTGGCTCCAATAATCCTCTCTGGCTGCAGACCTCGACCAAAACCTCTGGCCTTCTCACCCTGAGGACAGCGTAGGAAAAGGAAAAAAAATTTAATTTTTTCAACCTAATTAATTTCCCTGGTCTTTCTGTGATCTTAAACATTTACCTCCTCCTTCTTCCTCTTAGTGGCCCGCTCCTCGGAGTCTCCCGAGGCCTCGCTGGTGCTTTTCCTTTTGGTCTCCTTCTTCTTTTCCTCCTTCTCTTTGTGCTTCTGCATGTACTCGGCGATGAGGTCGGGGCAGTCCAGGTTCTCCTCCGGCTCCCATGTGTTATCGTCACTGGTGAAAAGAGACGTAGCAACGCACGACAACGACAGTTAGCATCAGTTGGAATGAAAATTTAATTGCGCATTAACAAATAGGCTGCGCTATCTCAAAATGTCACCGTTCATACCATGACACTACACACTCCAGTACAGTAGGTGGCGATATGCGCTTAAAAAACATTAGTCATGACCCGCTATTAAACCAAGACGTAGCCTAAGAGACATTCAGGTGTTGAAACAGAACGTGGGAATGTGTTCTCCAGTGTTCTCTCTTCTGTTATTGAAGAGAACCGTGTCAGTTGATGAGGTTCACAGACCGTTTTCTGACAATGATATAATTTGTTACTCACTTTGAGAACCCCTTCCACTTTAACAGGAACTCCACTCTCCCCTTCACCACCCGCCGGTCCAGAACCTTCTCCACTACATATTCTTCTTCCTCCTCTTCTTCTGCAGCGGCCGGCGGTGCAGGAGCAGGCGCTGGTGCTGCAGCTGCATCAGCAGCTGCCGGAACCGGCGCCGGTGCTGCGTCTGCAGCTGCCGGCGCTGCTGCAGGAGCCGCGGCCTGCTCCTCCTCCTCGACCTTCTTGCCCTTCTTTCCTGCTACGGTCGCCAGCTTGACGTCTGCTGATGGAGCCTCTGCTGCGGACAAAAAACAAAGTCGAACTGTTGAACAACGACGATTCACACAACCCACACTTGGAAAGTCAACAACGCATGTAGTGCAAACAATTCTTACATCATTATGACGCATGCATTGTCAGAGTTTCACAAAACTCTGACAATGCAATACGTATCACAATATGGGGCAACGATACGATATATTGCGATGTACGGCGATGCATTTTTTGAGTTTTTTTTAAACAATTTAATGGACCTACATTTGTAATCACTATAGTAGAAATAAAAGCAAAAAAGAACCAAAGCCATCAATATTTCACTATTAATTGTTAATAAAAAATGGACACATTGCTGTAGATATAAACAAAATATCGCAATATTTCAGTGTATCGATATATTTTTCTTACACCCCTCGATTTCTATTCATACTGATGCGAAAGACGACTTTACTTTGGTCTACATGCATTCTACACACAAATCAAATCAAAACAAACAGACTGGACCTACAACCGGAAATGTTTATGAACAGAAGTCGATCGATTTCTGCACAACAACATTGCATTTGATTCTGGCTTTGCCTTAAACCAAAGCACGATTCAAAAAATGGGGGTTTCCATCAGGTTAAGACGTTGTTTACTCCAGAATAGCAACACAAACAAATAACAATAAGCTTGGTAAACGTGGCGGTCTACGGTGCAGCAGGGAGGTCTGCAGGTCGGTGGGGGATCGACGTAAAAACGCCCCTTTTCCGTCTGTGCAAACAGCACATTCGCTCACGTCGCTGTACCTTTACATGCAAAACTAGGACATGATTATAAACAATCACAGACCGGAGGACTCGGTCGTGTCAACATGCCACCAACAGACAATGGCAGTCCGGTCGGTGTTCCATGCAGACAAACGTCCAAGGAAAAACCTAGCTTTTCTTTCAGTGCCTCATCAGTTAATGTCCGTGGCGGGTTTTCACTAAACAATGCTTCAAAAAAGCCCCGAGCGAACACTTACATATGACTTGGTTAAATGTTAACTATGTAAGGTTGTTATAATACGTTTTCACTAAAGTCACAACACTGGTTGGACGTGAGGCGGCCTGCCTTTTGCTTCCAGTGGGTAACATGGCTGGCATATCCCCCTCACAACTGCAAGCGCGAGCCTTACCTTAACAGGGAATGCTTCGGGACGCTGGTCGCTGCTTGCGGCGGGCCCGTGTGAATACGGTGTCTTTTTGTTATCGGCTGCACGCGGAAACCGACCGGAGAGACGGCAGCTGCAGCGCAGAAACGCGTGGGAGCGTTGGCGTTTGGAATAAGTTGTTTTTCTTAACGTGTTTGGCCGCTGTATCGCACAATAGCTTCGGCGTCGCTAACAACCAGCACAAGCCCGTTCTGCCCGCCAACAGCGCCACCGGAAGTTGCGTAGATGAAAGACGCATTTCGGGTAATGAAGTTGTTAGACAACCGCCGAATTCTATGTGCCTTTAACGTGGTTAACGCGTTTTTTTAAACAATATTAACAATAAAAAAAATTAATAAAAATCGTATACACACACTGAGATATAATAAAAAGACTCAAACCAAAGACAAATTTGGAGTTTATTAAATAAAAAATTAATAGAAACAATGAATATGAAGATAAAATGTGTCAATATAAAAGGACAGAAACTTAACATATAAATGCAAACGTTAATAAAATGTAAGTAAACATATTAATAAATATAAAAATTTAAATATATAAAACTATGAAAAAACAACTGTCAACCTTAATAAATAAGTAAATACATAATTTATAAATAAATACATAAATAAATAAATATTTGATGTGAATAAATATTTGCAACGTAACATAATACAGTAAGCTAAACTAAAATCAGGATACACCTGCAGCAGTAAAACAAGTAACAAAACAAAAAACAAAACAAAGAGTTCTAATTCAGTTGTAAACATTACATCTCTAAAACCTAGTTATATATATATATAATATATATGTGTGTGTTATATTATAAACATCTTGCACAAGTCCTAGAAATATAAGTGTAATATAATAAATATAAATAAATAATAGTGTATATATACACAATATTTTCTATATATATACAAACTTTTATCTTTAACGGAGGTGAAGTGTGTGGCTAACGGGGGTTAGCATCCATAATGTTCTATCACTGTTTCTACACAGATCTGATTGCATTTTTTTTTTGCACACATTTTAATTGTTTAAAATAGAGGTAGCGACAGGAGATCGTCGCGATCTTCAAGCGGAAAATAATAGAAAAAGATTAGAGCATAAAGTCATTTAGGCTGAGGCTGTGAGAGGACGCTCTCAAACGATCAGGAGGATGAGACACACGTGCTGATTCGTTGAGAGGCTGTGATGTCATGATGCATTTTAACTGGATATGTTATTCTATGATATATATTGTTTGCTATGGAGGAAGTCACGTGTCTGCACTTTAAGAAAAGTGACCTCAGATCTTAGTGTGACGCGACACTAAAATACAGAAAAGTCAACTTTTTAAAAAATGCACTGAATGTAAACAAAGAGTCTATCTGTGAGCAGACCATAATAATCTAACCTGGTCATTTAAAAAAAACTGAAAAACTTTGACAACTTTACTGTAAACAGACCTAATATTTATGTTTTTAATTGTTCACAGGTTTCACTCAGCCCCACAGTCTCGCATGGTAAAAACAAGGTGACAGTCGGCGACAGGAGGCGTCTAGGCCTCCTCGCCTTCATCGTCACCTTCCCCGACCTCGCCGTCATCCTCAGCAGTGGCGTCCTGGTACTGCTGGTACTCAGACACCAGGTCGTTCATGTTGCTCTCGGCCTCTGTGAACTCCATCTCGTCCATACCCTCACCAGTGTACCAGTGGAGGAAGGCCTTGCGTCGGAACATGGCGGTGAACTGCTCAGAGATGCGTTTGAACAGCTCCTGGAT